TATCCAAAGCCCCACACTCTTGAGCAGTTTTATTTAATTTGTATGTCTGTGAGTGAGAGCATGTGTTTTTGGCTAAAACCATTTCAGTTTCAAGCTTTTTCAAGGTACTATAAATGTTTTTTAAGAGATTTCCTTCATCTGAACCCTTTTATGTTTAGGAAATCCTCATGACATTCTTCTGTTGTTGGGATGAAAAAAGAACGAAGACCTGTAACACTGCCAAGTTGACTATGGTGCTGATGACAAGCAGCAGCAGATTATATTATCCAGCTTTTCTGTCAAATTCATCAGTATCTCTCTTACTGACATCAGTGCTATCTGGAGAGCTGCATTTTTCTTCTGGCTCTGCAGCTTCACAGATGGGAAGCCATCAGAGTAATACAGAAGGGTTCAATAGTGCTGTTAGAGCAGCACATTATTTAATACCCTATTCTAATGTAGGCAAAGAAAATACACTCCTACGACTAAATACTCTTGATTGGAGGCTTTCCTAAATAATTGAAAAGCACTCTTCAGGGCAAGTTGGGTGGCAATGTATAGCCTGCTTGTCTGATTCATCTGCTTTGTCAGCACTTAGGAAGGGTATTTTGGGTTCTGCTTGGTTGATATGGCTGTGGTAGTGCCAGAAGCCTTCCTGCACTACACCTCCCAGTGCCGCTGCTGCACGTGCTCTCAGTGATGAGAAAGTGTTCTAAAGTGAGAGAGCTGAGTTTAAAAAAAAAACAAACCCAAACACAACGCGCTCAGCAACTGCTGGCAACTTCCATTCTTTCTCTTCCCAGTCCTCAGAGGCTAAAAGACCATCACACAGTTTATCAAATTGCCTTCACAGATGCTTTGAAAAGCAGACCTTTGAGTTCCTTATGAAACACTCCTTCACCACTGCATGTTCAGGTTACTCCCTGGTTTCTGTGCTTTTAAAACATATTTCCCCTTCTCTTCTATGAGGCTGTGCAGATTATCAGCCTGCTCTGCTGATTCTGGCTCCAGGAGGGTTAAATGAATGTGCTAGATGTGCACATTCTCCGTCTCTGATCTTTGCTAGCTGGAGTCTAGGGTAAATCCTCAGACAGAAGATTCAACATCCCTCCAACAAGCTGAAGCATTGCTTGAGCTATAGCTGAATGTTATCCCTTAGAAGAGTAAATTGAGAGTAGCCTCTCTGGTCATTCATCAACCCAGTGTAGTTTAATTTTCAGTTCATGGGCCAGGTTCAGCTGGCTCCCCCTGCCTTTTCCCTAAGCAATTTATTAGCTGCTTGAGAGGTACAAGCCTTAAGAGCAGCCAAAAGCTCTCCCTGTGCCTGCAAATAGCCCAGCAGCTGGAAATCAAGCCTCTGGTACAGCCATGGTGTGGGAGGTGGGCTGAAGTGTGGCTGGGAAACATCTATGATCTGGTTAGGAGAAAGCAATTAATTGTTCCAGCAGCAAATGATGAAATACATGGCTTCAAGTTTCCACTTTCGCTTAAACTCAATCTGCTCTACTTTTGTAATAATGCTCTTTCTTGTGGGCAGCCTTTTGAAGGTGAAAGATTGGCTGTATCCCTAATAATAGGACCTTATCCATACGTGGTGAATCCATCGTATCTCTGGCATTAAGATGTGGTTGATGCTGTAAGTGAACTGCTGACCTACAAAGCTGTGTTTACTCACAAGCAGACAGCAGGATGCAGATGCAGAGTCTGAAGCTTTGCTTCACACTGCAAACGTGTGTAACACTGCCAGGGTTAAGTGGGGCAACCGCAGAGAGGAATTTGGCCTGCTGCTCCGTAATTTTCCATAACTGACCATTGTAATTGTCTATAATTATCAAGGTTCCACCCAATCTGCAGATTGGTGGCACAGCTGACATATCTGCACAAGCCAAGGAGAAGGTACATATGCTAATTGTCTGGCAGGAAATAATTTCTTTATTATGCTCACATTTTCTAAGGGTAGCTGGACGTTGTGAGGAGAGAGGGTTTTGAAGTCATGGGCTACAAAGATCAAATAGAGGAAACCTTGTCCTTCTTCTGTGATCATACTGAATCAGACCCAGGGGTATTTTCAAGGCAACTTGAACTTTGCACTACGTGCCATCCCTGACATTCAGCCTCACAGATGTTCTCATCTGCAAAGGGAAGGTCCGCCCGTATTGAATGGACATGGTAATGCATTGGTCTCAGAAACAAACTCCCTGTGTCTTTTGGGGAAACGGCCACTGTGACATAAATTGACCCCTCTATCATCCCATCAAGAGAATATCAGAAACTTGGCAAACTTTATTTTCTATCAAATTTTAATTTCTCTTTGCATGCACAATTTTCCTTTGGTTCTGTGTAGTGCATGTTACAGAGACAAGTGATAAATGACTTTATTCAACTCATCTGTGTTCCTCCTGGAAATCTTTGCTGGCATCTCAAATTGCAAACCCAGTCAAAGAGTCAATGTGTAAAGAAATCACTACCACCAGAAGGGAACATTCTGCTTCCCTGAACAGGTATAGTTCAGGTCCTTAGGCTCATCCTATTCACCCTGCCAAGATTCATGGAAGGGCAGGGCCGGGCTGAGGGCTGGAAGGGGGAGGCTGTTGGTGAGTACAGGACATTTCCCCTTTCCAGCGCTCACTGTTTGTTCATGTGAAAGCACTGAGATATCTGAAATTGCAAGTACCATTTTAGATCGCGTTATTTTTAGACATTTTCATAGCTCCTCAGCTGTGTGGAGGCTGCTATAAATGAACCACAGCTCTTTTAGTTTATCAGATTTTGATTCTCTAAATGAAGATGAGAATTTTTATTCAGTGTTTGAGATTCAGAAAACCTGAGCACAGAGAAAGTCACCCAGAAACACAGCCTTGTGCTTAGAGAAATTTTACATCATGCTGTCATATTTTAGCTGATTTTCTAACCTTTAGTTTAAAAGGTTTGGAACTGAGTTAAACTGACTCTTGCTGGTAAAAGATAATTCATATTGTTAACAGCAACCAACTAGAACAAATAGTATAGAAGCTTGGAACACTACATTAGGAAACCCAAAGTGATGTTGATTAATTCAGTAAACGAGTAAAATTCAATAACCACAAAAGTCATTGTGACACATTCTTATTACTTTCTTACCTCTTTTAAAAGAAACCACTGACTCTCCAAATTACATTGTTTTCTTCCAGCAGAATCCATCTTGGAGAAAAAGGCTGGTAAAATTTGTTAATGCTGACTTCAGGATATCTAGGATTTCACTGTGTGAGTCATCAAGAGCAAAGTTTCCCCCTGAGTAATTTATTTGAGGGATTTTTCCCCTCATTGATATGCTAATGCTTTGCTTTTACTTTAGTACATTCTTATATCTTTTAAGGAAGCAAAAAGTCATTCCATGATCTTAGCCTGCATATTTTTCACACCTTCTGCAACAGTTCTATGGATTTTTCTAAATTCTGCTGAAGGGATACGGTGTTACATATTGCAGTATCTATGTAAAGATATTACCTGCTCTGTGATGTTGAAAATCTTTGCTTTTTTAATTTAAAAATGGTTGTTCAGTGTGGAAAATAACCGAGTTTGAGAAACTACCTTTCCTCATTTTTTTTCTTTTTTACTTTTAGAATGCAGAGTAGCAGACGCATACAGTTATAGGAAAAAAATATAGGAGTAACTTGTTACTGCCCTTATAGTTAAGTGACTTCCACTGGGGAAGGAGGAGCTCCAACATGTCCTGCACTGCACCTTTTATTCCCCAGTAAAGAACCCAGTGCACAAGGGACTTGCTTGATGTTCCTACAACTCTGATTAACCTCTGTAGCGTTGGTCAAATCAGTTCATCTCACCGCGCCTCAGTCTCCCAACCCCAATAGTGACAATATTTTCATTATAAACTGATATGAACTCTGCCTGAGGAGGTTACATATGGTCATCAGCTCAGGATCTGCAGGTTTCCCTTCACACAACAGAGCAAATGCTGAAGCAGAACCGTATCTCATCCTTCAAAATATTTCCATCCTGGCAATAGTACAGTGCGTGCAGAGAAGTAACGGTGACAGCATTAAACCAACATCTCCTAGCCAAGGACAGACTGAAGAACGGCAGAAAAGGGAAAGACTGTGCTATTACAAAAATCAGGAGAAAACAGCCTTAGTGCTCCATGGTTTTGACATCTTGTGAGTGTTGAACTTAGAAGTTGAAGGAGAATGCAGCCTGGTCTCTCATTTACCTGATCCTAGCTATTCTGCTGTCACCTTATTCAGATATGATTATTCAAAACTAATTTGTATTTGGTAAAACATTGCTAGGCCCTCTCAAGACAGAAGTGCAAATCTCCTGTCTAGACATGGGTTTTGAAAGCCCTAACTAGTTTGGCTAATGAGGAACACTGTGATATCATACCTTCCCTACCTGCTGAGAGGAAGGAGTTAAGTACCATGCTAGTAAAGGAATCCCAATCATTCTTTTGCAGCTGCTTTGGACTTGCAGATCTGCTTCCTGTTCTTACTGTTGAGGGAATTTGGTCCTGCATGCCAAGGTCTTTTTGCTATTTGTTTGAGGAAAAGTTTTATCACCAGTACGCTCTGTCTCCAAGATTTTGCTCTGGCTGTCATGGCTGTAAGATGAGCCTTTCAGTTTTTATATATTTAGCCTCACAAATCCTCTTTGAACTAGCAAAAAGGAGAGAATTAAGGATCAGCTAGAAGGAAGTGTCTTGCCTGAGGTCATCTGGGCTGCTTGTGGCATAGAAGAACTGGAATCTTTCACAGAGGGCAGGACTAAAATCATTAACCTATTCTCTCTTTCCCCAAGTACAGGAAACAATGCAATCATTCTCAAAATACTCTTTTTATCTTTTTTTTTTCCTTTTCCTTTTTTTTTTTTTTTTAAGGGAAGAGAAAGTAGAGAGTTTTTTCTATGCCCATTCAATAGTTTCACATCAGTCTATCCTGCTGTGGAAAGCTTCTTTGTGATGTTAAATGAGATTCACATTATTCTTCCCAGTATCTTTGTTGTCTGCAGGGTATAACAAGCAGCGAAGCTCAAGGGAATCGCATCAATTTTTATTCTGAGTCTGGCTGACAAAGATATGAACACTTAATTAAGATTTCTTTCATCTCATGAAAATAGCCCTGAAGATCTGAGCCTGACATGAGAGCTGCCAGTGATCCAAGCAAAGGCAAAGTGTCCAACTGCAAGATCTTAGCTGGAACACTTGCCCTCACAAACCATTTGGACTGAGAGTGGGATCTAGGTGTTTCCAAATTGATGTCCAAGCTCGGGGGAGCGGCTCTGGCTTTCACTTCTGACTCATTCTAGTACTGTGAATTCCTGTTTCACACAGGGACAGACCAACAGGAGGGAGAGTCTCTGAGCTCCACAGAACAATGTAATCAATTCAGGCATGCATGCAGCAGAACAGTTGGCTTAGGCTTCCCAATGTGCCATCTGTGAGGAAACCGATTTTTTAAATGACTAATTACAATAAAATGCACATTCTTTCTCTATTTATTTACATGGATGCATGTATATTGATTAAAATTAGTCCCTTTTCGCTACATTAAATCAGAGTGTTGATAATTAAGGCATCTGTGCACAGGGCTGAGAACATTAGGAGTACTAGAGAAACAAACAATAGTTCATAATAGGATCATTACAGCAGTCTTAGCAGCACTTACAACATGTTTATTCAAACATGAAATATGCCCTAAGGAAGAAAAACACCAATTACGGAACACTGGGGATTTAAAATAAAAAGGTCAGTTTTAAAGCCTTTAAGTAAATAATTTCAAACAACTCAGCAACAGCTCATGTTTAAAAATAGGCTAAGCAGCTAAAACATTAAAATGTGTTAATTGTAGGATCTGGAATATATCAAAAGGACAAGCACAGTCACTATCATTACCTTCTCATTGTTCAGGGTGAAAAAGCTCAGTATTAATACTGACATACATCTTGGTGTATATATGCACGGCAAATATTTACGGTTTTGTGAGTGTCTCAAACTGATTGTACACTGCCAAGAAGAACATACTTGCAGTTTCACATAAAGGAGTAAAATAAACAGTGCGTTTCTGTATCAACAGCTCAGGTCTGCAGAAACCCTTGGGTCAGAGGAAGTTTATAGGTCCTTCTCCATGTGGGAACAAGAGACTGCGTGTCTAAGTGGTGGGGACACCACTTTGTATGTGTGGTACACATACAAAGGCAGCACTTGGATTTATACATGTTATTTCTAATTAACATGTGCATTAACATGCACAGCAACTGCAGGTTTCAGTGGGACTACATTCCCATTCCCATTACCCACTCATCAACAGGGCCTTGGACTAACCAACAAAGTAAAGCACCTTTGTGGACTGAATTTCACCTCTTCTATTTTCCCTGTTATGACCTATGCTCTTAGTATAATCTTATTACTTAATCCAAGGAATTAACACAAAAGAATAGCAAATCTACAGCACTGGCTGAATTTCAGTGAAAGCTGGGGGATGTCAGCAGTACCTCAAAGCTTCAGGCTCTCCTCAGGTGTTGTAGTTTAGGAATGGTACTCCCCAGTTCAGTGCCCCCACCAAGGCTCTCGAAAAACTGCACTCTGTGCTCTTTCTCTCTCTTCCCCTTCCTGCTTTGGTGGGATGGAATTGAGAATCAGAGGTACAAAATGCAAAGATCATGGATTGAGATTTACAGGAAACAGCAACAAGATAAGAAAACTAACAGGAATAGCAACAATAGTAAAGACAGAGAGTATATGAAAAGAAACTATTCATAAGAAAAAAAAATTTCTCATTTCATGAAAGTGAGATTGCCTTTCCCTTGCAACGAGCCCCTTTTCCTGAAAGGGAGAGTCCCTTTTCCCCGCCCCCAGGAATGCCACGAGGTGGTACAGAATAACCTGTAAGGAGGTACAGAATAACCTCCATATCCTGACCATGCCCCCTCCAGGCTACTGCAAAAAATTAAGCCTGTCCTGGCCCAAACCAGCACCAGGAGACATTACTCCTGGTTTTTATTTTGGAATTAAAGGTTGTCCCATAATCACAGAATCAATTCGGTTGGAAAAGATCATCGAGTCCAACCCATGTCAACTAGACCACAGCACTAAGCACCAATCTTTCCTTAAACACCTCCAAGGGATGGTGACTCCACCACCTCCCTGGGCAGCCCATTCCAATATCTAATGACTCTTTCTGTGAGGAAGTTGCTCCTGATGTCCAGTCTAAACCTCCCCTGGCACAGTCTGAGGCCACGTCCTCTCATCCTCTCTATCACTTGTTGCCTGGGAGAAGAGACCGACCTCCACCTGGCTAAAACTTCCTTTCAGGTAGTTGTAGAGATCAATAAGGTCACCCCCGAGCTTTCTCTTCTCCAGACTAAACACCCCCAGCTCCCTCAGCCACTCCTTGTAGGACTTACTCTCTAGACCTTTCCCCAGCTTCACTGCCCTTCTCTGGACCCTCTCCAGCACCTCAATGTCTTTCCTGTAGTGAGGGGCCCCAAAGTGGACACAGTACTCGAGGTGCCCCTCACCAGCACCGAGAACAGAGGGAACCCGCGCTGTCGCTGGACAACAGTTTCACCCCTATGGTTTCGCTGCCTGCACGGCGGCCAAGCCCCAGCTCCTCGGCCCGGTCACCCCACACCGGCGAAGCAGGGGTGGAGCACGCAGAGCTGCTCCTCGTGCACCGGGCGAGCATGACAGACCGTCTTCCCGCCGGATGCGCCGCAGGGAGCGGCACCGCCCGAGGGGCTGTGGGATGGGCGGGCGAGACCCAAAATGGCGGACGCAGCCCCGCCCCCGCAGGTGAGCGCGGGCGGCACTCCGGAGGCCAGTGCGATTGGTCCGCGGTGTCGCCAGTCACCCGTTGCCGCGGCAACGCGGACCCGCCCCGCGACCCTCTCTCGGCTCCTGATTGGCTAGCACGCGCGGTGACGCGCGCGCGGGGGTTTTACGGCCCCAGGCCTCGGGAATTGCCTGGAGAGGGCGGGTGGTGGGTCCGGCGGACGGAGGTCTGTGCAGCCGCCATGACGTTCAAGCGTAGCCGGGACCGTTTCTACAGCACCCGCTGCTGCGGCTGCTGCCATGTGCGCACCGGGACCATCATTCTGGGCACCTGGTACATGGTGAGTGTCCGGGGCGGCCGGCGGGCGAGGGGGTGGCGGCGGCGGGGGGGGCCGCGCGCAGCGCGCGTGCGCGAGGGAGGTGGTGGTGGTGGTGGTGGGTTCAGCGCGCGCGTGGCCGCCTTGAGGGGCCGGGGTGTTCTCGCTCCCCTCATCCCGGGAGTTGCTCCCTTTTTCGAGGGGCTCCCGCTCCCTTCACCCCGGGAGTTGTTTACTTTCCTGAGGGGCTGCGGAGCTCTGGCTCCCTCGTCCCCCAGAGAATTGTTCCCTTCCCGAGGGGAAGCTGGACGAGGGGGTTTCCTGGGGTCACCCGGCGGGGCTCGAGTCCCTCTTCCTTCCCTTACCAAGCCCGGTTGTCCCTCGGCTGCCTCCCTTGTTGTACTTGGAAAAAGAAAGGGAAGGGAAAGTTCAGAGCGTTGTAATCTGGGTCTCGGAGGGGTTGTGTTAATATTGCCATTCTTGTGTTGGAGGGATTGAGACTTATAAACAGCACTGAGCGTGTCCTTGGTAAGGGAGGAGAGCTGGGAGAGCTGGGGGAGACTGGAATTTGGGGTGTGTTATAGGAGGATTAGCTGTGGTGGGTAAGCTCGGAGAGGAAGGTCATTGTCTCCAAAATGAGCATTTCTTTTGCTTGTCGAAGAGCTTTCTAACAGGGGAAGTTCCCTATTTTTCCATGCTCTGGTGTTCTCAGCACAGGGGCTGAGAAGCGATGGAAACAAATTTGGCTCCCAAAACACTTCTTTGCTTTCTGCCTGGTGAGTTCTTTCTTTCCAAGAGAGAGCGGTGATGATGAAGATGAAATATTAGAGATAGTTCTGAACTAGGGTGAAATAGAAGCGTGAAAACAGTACCAGCAAGTTAAAGGCCTGGAGCTCTAACTTCCCTTAGTTCTCTAAAACGGAACTGAGTTACCAACCTGAGTTCCCCTTTATTGAACTGATTTCTTCATCTTTCCTTCCCCTTACCCTCGCGGGCAGTAAAAATGAGAGGATAGTTTACAAAAGTTGAATCATAACTTTTCTGTTTTCTGAAGCTGTAGCCAAAGCCTGTATTTTCCTTTACCCTTCCCCAGACTGTAAAAAAAATAGAGAATGCTGAATTTTAACGGGTTGATGTGAAAGAGCCATGCACAGAAACTGCTTTTACAGGCATGGGGATTTGAGTTTGGAGAGTTCATGGTTTATCTTCAGCGAGTATGGGGAGATCCTTTATTTTTATGCATTTTGGTCCTTTGATTGGCAAAAAAATGTAAAGTCAAACAATAAAGTGGCCGGAGAGAGGACTGGAAGAAAAAGCAAGGTAGGGGGTTGGAAATGTAACAAAACTCTAGGAAAAGGATATTTCTTTCATTTTCAAGAAGAAATTGGGAAAAAATGTCATGGTGCTGATTAGGTTCTGTTATTAGGTCATTTAAAATAGAAAAATAAATGTCCATTGTAATATTGAGAATCGGACTTGTTTTGGAAACCTGCAAAACCCCCGGAAGTTTTGCCCCGTGCTAATGGATGGAATTCAAGAATGTGCTTCTGGTACCTCAAGGAGAAGCACAAATCGTTAACAGTAGGGAGACAGTGATCCTTGTTACAGAACAGAAGCACTTCGCTGCCTTCTCCACTTCGTTTCCTGTTCGCGGGAGTGTCCGTAAACCCAGGAACTTGCTGGGGGCGGAGGACAGGGATGTGTTTCCGTGGCCACAGACCTGGTAGTACTTCCAGCTGCTACCTCTCTCTTACTATGCTTATGTTTCGCCTTGTTGCCTGGCTGCAGCTCCTCTTTGTTCTTTTTGAATGCGTGCTGGGGACGGTGAAAAGTGCGCCGGGCGCCCATGAGGCTGCTGCTCCAGGGACGGATGGGGCTTTGATCTGTGCAACGAGTCAGTCTGCTGGAGGGAAAAACAGAGTTGAGTTCAGGGTAGTGGGGGGCACACGAAGTGCTTCAGAGCTGTGTTGTTCTATAAAAAAAAAGAAGTTTATATAAAATGTATTAAACGCTTTGTTAAACTGTGCATTGAAAATTTTTATCCATTTCTTCCCAGCTGTGACCTGGGAAGAGGTGAGGACTTCTAAGTCGGACAGCTGTTGGCTGTTTGAGCTGAAATAAGGTCTTTCAATGAAGTCTTATGTGGTCTTGCCTAATGCTCTAAATCGGAATTCAACGATAATTTATACCTTTTTGAAGGCAAAGTACAGTTTGGACAGTGAAAATTAGACTTATCTGTCTGCTCACAAACTTTAAAAAAAATTAAATGGTCAAGAGTATGTCAGGTTGTTTAGAAATTTAATTAATGCACCATTTAAATATAGCACTAACTTAGTCTTTCAGTTTCTCATGAGAAGTATTTCTAAATCAACTTAATAATCTCTGCTTGTAAGTTACAGTGGGACAAGTCACAATAACTTTCTTTGTAGGGTAGTGTTTTTTGGTTTGTGAGTTTGGTGGTTTTTTGTTTGTATTTTTTGTATTTTATTGGGGTTGTTTTGAAGGAGGTAGCTTTTTGCTGGGGGAGAATGTTTAGTTGAAGAATAGGTTTGTATTACTGAAAATCTTGCTCTTTACTGGATAGATTGGGTTCCCGTGCAGTGCAGTACTGAGGGAATTTGATACCAAACATAAAATGGAGTCTCGTAACAATCTACTCCAGATGTTTTAGTAAGATAAGAGTTTGTCTACTTAATACATGCATGTTATCTTATGTAACCATTTCTTTAGGCATTTCATATTCCTTGCTTATTTGCATACTCTTAAGTCTTGCATCTAATTAAGTTTTCATCTCGCTAAAACAGTTGTATCACTGTTCTTGTTGAGTGCTTCTGCAAGTCCAGAGAAAACAAGGATATTATCTTCTAAAATGTCTGCTGTTGGTGCTGTGTGATCAGTGTCTTAAGCACGCCTCAGTCTAAGGGCTGCTGCTGTTTGTGATCAGTAAATAACGCTGCAGTTGCAAAGAGATAAGCTAAGGACACTTCCAGTGGAGTCGTACTTGAGATCCAGGACTGATAGAGCTTGGTTTGCTCCGCAACACCCACTGCTGTTCTGTGTAGGAAGGAGAAAGAAACGTCCTGTTCCTCACTCCGTAATTGCAAACGTGTGGCTTTGAAGTTTGTTTCTTCCTGTAAACTTTCATATTAGGCACAGTGCTTCCCAGAAACCGGAAGCACGAACACTGCACTGGCAAAAATGGGATCAGAGTTCAATAAACAGTCTAAAAGCAATAGCATTGTTTTGGAGGGAGGGGCTGGTGCGTTCTGGCAGCAAACTTCAGCGATGGAGGCAGTGATGCAACTGCTGCTGGTCAGCAGGAGGCTGAGGGGGGAATCTCTGGAGTCGTTTATTCACTAAACAAGACTTGCAGAAATAGAGAATATAACTGGTCCCAATCTAATACTGACAGTGCTAGAGGATCTGAAGTACCGTATTTAAAATAATTATTTTTCAGTTTTTATTATTTCAATATAATAAACCAAAACAAATCAGAAACTCCATGTTGTTTTTTTTTTTTTTTTAATTTGGAAGCAAGTTTAGGGAAAAATATTGGAAAAGTGAAGGGACAATGAAGTATAGTAGTGCAAGGCAATTTGCCTCTTTTGCCTCATAAAAGGAAATAAGCAAATTATAAGTAGGAGTTTTTGTTTTTGTCCAAGTCAGTCTGAGTGCTTGGGGAAACCTAGACTTCATGTTCAGGCCTCCTGAGAGAAGCACTTACATGATAAGGCATTAAGTGTACCCTGTGGAGGTGAAACTTGCTAATTAAAAAGTTAATGCTCTTTAATAGCCTCACTGTCTTTTGAGTTCTAATCATATGGGGAGCTAATATTTCTGTTACCATTGTGTAATAAATGCTGACTTTCTACATGATTACCAGCTTTTTGATTTTTAAATTTTGATACAGGCTACACCAAACTGTGTTAAACTCAGCCATCCCAAATATAAAATGTAAAATATTACAAAACTACATTAAAGGGGTTTTCGTATTAATTGAACCACCTTTTGAGTAAGAGTTTGAACATGCATTTTGCAAATTTTTTTATTATTATTTTTGATTTCCCAGCAAAAAGGATGAGGATGGGGCCTGCTGGGATTTGAGGTGTTATCTCAGAACATTGCACTGTTCATTGAGTGCTGTCTTGTCAAGGTTAGTGGGATTTTTTGAGGCAGAGGTGGTGGTGGTTTCAATCCTCATCTTAAACTGATGCGTACACAAGTTTTATATTTTTTCCGACTTCTCCATGTAGACATTTGTGAACATACATTTGATGTGCAGTGGGTATATACTTACAAGCTCTAGCGATGCTTTGCAGTCCAGACTGTACTCTTGCTGCCTGTTATGTTGATTGTTAAGTTGAAACAAGCCTTGTGGTCTTGCTATTATGAAGCTTCTGTGAAAGGATGGAAGCAGTTAAAATACAGGCTCTGGCTCTGTAGCTGTTAATTGAAATCCATATATCGAATGTGATGAATTGCTCAGTGCTGTGACAGATTCATAAACAGCAACAATGGAGTACTGGAAACCCTGGGGTGTTAAGTGGCAGAGGTTTGGGTTGTTTGTTTTTAAGTTACTATTTTTATTCTGTCTCGTTGATTCTAATAGATTGTATTTTGAATGACTATTTTCTGATTTCCTTTCACATCATTTCAGGTTGAGAAAATTAATCTTTAATACTTTGAACTGTTCTCAGGAACTAGTGAAATTACTGAAAACTTCTGTATGCTAAATTTGGACTGTGGGTAGGATGAAAAAAAGTGACAGATGT